TTTTGTGCAGCACCGTGGGCTCTTCCCATTTGGAATTTTCTGGAAAAGTCACAAAGATTCCTCACCTCGGTGGCTGCGAGGAGAAGGTTCAGGAGCACTGGAAATGAACTTTGCCGAGATGGATTCCGCAAAAAACTTCAATTTATGGAGGGAATTCCTGCTCCCCTCAGGCTCTGCTTAAAATTGGGGTTCTGCACAGGAATGGGTGAGTGCCACAAAAATGGGTGAGTGCCACAGAAATGGGTGAGTGCCACAAAAATTGGTGCCACAAAAATGAATGAATGCCACAAAAGCGGGTGAGTGCCACAAAAATGAGTGCCACAAAAATTGTTGCCACAAAAAATGAGTGAATGCCACAAAAATGGGTGAGTACTACAAAAAAAAGTGGGTGAGTGCCACAAAAATGGGTGAATGCCACAAAAATTAGTGCCACAAAAATGGGTGAGTGCCACAAAAAATGAATGAATGCCACAAAAATTAGTGCCAGAAAAATTGGTGCCACAAAAATGAGTGAATGCCACAAAAATTGGTGCCACAAAAAATGAATGAGTGCTACAAAAATTGGTGCCACAAAAATTGGTGCCACAAAAATGAATGAATGCCACAAAAATGAATGAATGCCACAAAAGTGGGTGAGTGCCACAAAAATTGGTGCCACAAAAAATGGGTGAGTGCCACAAAAATGGGTGAGTGCCACAAAAATGGGTGAGTGCCACAAAAATTGTTGCCACAAAAATGAGTGAATGCCACAAAAACTAGTGCCACAAAAGTGGGTGAGTGCCACAAAAAATGAGTGAATGCCACAAAAAATGAGTGAGTGCCACAAAAAATGAGTGAATGCCACAAAAATGGGTGAGTGCCACAAAAATTGGTGCCACAAAAAATGAGTGAATGCCACAGAAATAATTGCACTAAGTGGGTGCTTGGAGGGTTTTAGGTCCCGCCAGATTTCACAGGGACCTTGGGCAGATCTCACCTGCCCAGTGCTGGTTTATAAACCCGGTTTAATCCTGCCTGTCCAAGGTGCAGGGGAAAGCCCTGGCCTGGGTCAGGATTAAACTGCCCTAATTGGGATTAAACTGCCCTAATTGGGATTAAACTGCCCTAAATTAGATTAAACTGCCCTAATTGGGATTAAACTGCCCCAAATCAGGATTAAACTGCCATAAATTGGGATTAAACTGCCCTAAATTAAACTGCCATAAATCAGGATTAAACTGCCCTAAATTAGATTAAACTGCCCTAAATTAGATTAAACTGCCCTAAATCAGGATTAAACTGCCCCAAATCAGGATTAAACTGCCACTAATCAGGATTAAACTGCCCCAAATCAGGATTAAACTGCCCTAAATCGGGATTAAATTGCCCTAAATTAGATTAAACTGCCCTAAATCGGGATTAAACTGCCACTAATCAGGATTAAACTGCCCTAAATTAGATTAAACTGCCCTAAATTGGGTTTAACGTGCCCCAAATCAGGATTGAAGTGCCCTGAGCGAGAGCAGGGTGTGCAGAGCATGAACTGAATTCTCCCTCAGCTCTGGGAGAGGCCCCTCAAGCTGGGACTGAAACTCGATGTTCTTCCAGCTCTGGGGCTGATAACAATATTTTTCTTTCAGTGCTGCCTTGGCTGGAGGATCATTTCTGGAGCCCCAATTCCAGGCAAGTTTTTCCTTCAAAATTCCCTTTTCCATCAGCGTTTTCCTGTTCTCTGCGGGCTCTAAAAGAAACTGAGAATTCAGGTTTAGCTCGGCTGAGTTTCTCCCTCGGTGCTGTGAGTGCAGCTCAAACACCAACAGGGCTGAGTTTGCATCTCTGTGAGCTCCAAATGCAAAAAAATTGGAAAAAAAAATTGGATTTTTCAGAGCGGTGCTGGGGAAGGAGGAGCCATCCCTGGAAAGAGCTGAGGGAGAGCTCTGGGTTCTGCTCTTCCTCCCCTCTGCAATTCTGGAATCCTTTCCTTGCTCTCCCTCCTCATCCTCTCCTTTCCCTGCTGCAATTTTCTGCCCTTTCGTTGTTGGATTTCCTGTTGGTTTTCAGATTTTTGTGGTGGTTTGTCTCGGTGAGGGTTGAAATTGTTCATGGAATTGCACACCCTGGCCTGATTTCTCTCTCTGAGCTGTTTGACAGCTCCAGGCCAGCTTGAGGCTGCAAATGGATGAAACTAATAAAGCAGTGCATGAACTAGGGTGGAAAAAATTCCAATTCGAGCATTTTTTTAAATTACGAGGCTTTTCTGAAACCCTTCGAATGCCTCAGATGCCCCCAAGGAATTTTTGCATGGCCTTGCCCTGCCTGACATTGCTGGTGGGACTGGGGAGAAAATTCCTGCGGAATTCTGAGAGAGCAGAGCTGGGGTTGGTTCATCCCAATTCAGGGTGAGACGGAAAAGTGCGGCTGTGTCTGAAAACCCGAGAGTTTCCGAGTGAGATTTTTCAGCTGTCCATGAAAACTTGAGAGTTTCTGAGTGAGATTTTTCAACTCTCTCTGAAAACCTTAAAATTTCTCAGTGAGCTTTTTCAACCCTCTCTGAAAAACCTGAGAATTTGAGTGAGATTTTTCAGCTGTGTCTGAAAACCTCAGAATTTCTGAGTGAGATTTTTCAGCTGTGTCTGAAAACCTGAGAATTTCTGAGTGAGGTTTTTCAGCTGTGTCTGAAAACCTGAGAGTTTCCGAGTGAGATTTTTCAGCTGTCTCTGAAAACCCCAGAGTTTCTCAGTGAGATTTTTCAGCTCTCTCTGAAAACCTTAAAATTTCTCAGTGAGCTTTTTGAGCTGTCTGAAAAACCTGAGAATTCCTGAGTGAGATTTTTCAGCTGTCCATGAAAACCTGAGAATTCCTGAGCGAGCTTTCCCAAAAAGCCCTGAATGGATCTGGAGATGCCTCAGAGAAGCTCCCAGGCAAACCCTCGGAGCCTCTTT